AATTCTGTCCAATTTTCCATTTTCTGAGACTGAAAGATACTAAAGTTAGTGGAATAATTGATCTATTAGAGGGCATTTCAAGGAAATTCCCAGGTAGCCCAATTTTGAGACTGTTGCATGGGCACTCTTGGCTTATAGCCAAGTGACACTTGGGGGCAAAAAGCACAGGATGAAAAATTTAAAAACCTAAATCCCTCCCTGCCAAAGGGCCATGTGAAAAGCCAAAGCCAAAGGAGGTATGGCTGCTGAAGCTATCAGTACCATTAAACAGAAACCAAATACTTTGCATAGAAATAAAAATAAGGGGCTATGAGGGCATTTCAGAAATCAGTGAGACCTACCCACCACAGACTCAGGTCACAAAACTGTAACCTTTCATTTGAGTGGAGAGTTCCAGGGACTCCTCCTCAAGAAGGGCCACCTGGATAGTTGACTTTCTGAGATTCAGTTCACTGTGCTCAGTCAAGTAGGCACTCAGAGTCCGCTGCAGTCATGGTCCAAAGGGACCTGGCTTCTGTTCCATCCGATGGAGTAAATGGGTGAAAGTTTACTTGTATAGTTTAATAGACACATTTCAAATATATAGTAAATTAAAAATTTAAAACTTGTATTAGTACAAATTTGCAATGCATGATTACATTCATTGTGGAGAATTTGTTCGTGTACATATCACATCTTCATTCTTTCCCCCAAGCCCTTTTTCTCTACCCCCTCCACTTTTTGCTAGCATCAGGTTCATTTATTTATCCTGTATAAATTATCATACATAAAAATTAACAGCCACATTAACAGCCCAAAAACATACAAAACATGTAAGACAATTATACTAAATCATGGTAGACTTTTAGATTCCATAGTAGAATACAATAACTTTTATCCCTCTTTTTCCTATTGGCTGTCTTTTATGCTGTACGTTTTTGTATACTGAGTTTTTCATATAACAGAAACCATGTTGAATTTATTTATATGTCTGATTTATTTCACTCAACATGATGGTCTCAAAGTGCATCTATTTCCCTATAGATGACTTGTTCATTTGTCTTTATGGCAGAGTAGTATTCTATTATGTATGAATACCACATTTAAAAAATTTATTCATCTACTGATGGGTGTATAAGCTGATTCCAAGATTTAGCTATTAGTAGTTGTGTTGCTATAAGTACAGTTATGCAAACATCACTGTGGTATGACGGCTTCAACTTTTTTACTCTAGAAGAGGAATGAATAGCTGGGTCAAATAGAATTTCTAATTTTAAGTTTTGAAGGAATCTCCATACTGATTTCATAGTAGTTGTACCAATTCATGTTCCCATTAACAATGAAGACGTTTCTTTTTCTCCCACAGCCTCTTCAACATTTGTTACTGGTTAATGTCTTGATGACATCATTCTTTCTGGAATGAGATGGAATCTCAGGGTTTTAATTTGCATCTCTCAAAAGGCAAGAAATACTGAACATTTTGCATGTGTTTATTGGCTATTTGTATTTCTTCATGTGAAAAGTGTTTATCAGTTCAGTTGCCCGTTTTTTATTAAGTGTTTAAATTTGGAAGGTCTAATTTTTTTGAACTTTTTATATATTGTAAATATGGATCCTTTGTTTGAGGAGTAGCTGGAAATTTTTTTCTCATTGGATAGGTTATCACTTATTTTGTTGGTGATTTCTTTTGCTGTGCAGAAGCTTTTTAATTTGATGTGATCTCATTTGCTGTTTTTTGGTATTGTTTCTTTTGTAACTAGTGTTTTGTTCAGAACGTCCTCACCTATGCCTATGTCTTCAAAAGTTTTGCCTCTTTTATCTTACAGCACATTAGGTTTAATATTTTAATCTTTCGTCCATTTTTATTTCAGTTTAGTGGATGGCAAGTACAAATTTAGGTTCAATATCTGGTGTTTAACAGCCAGTTTTCCCAGCACCTTTGTCAGAGAGGACATTTTTCCTCTAGAAAAGTATTTAGCCCTTCTGTAAAGATAGCATAACAGTGTGATGAAGCTGTTTTTGTGTCCACTACTGTGTTCCACTGATTCACAAGTCTGTTTTTTGTCAGTACTATGCTGATTTTATCTTTGTAGCTTTGTAGTAAACTCCCCTTCTGTTTGAACACAGTTATCCCGCCATTCTTGCATAATAAGAAGTACAGTAAATATGGAAGCTGCATAGCATCTGATGGAGAGGCCAGCTCATAAATCCTGATCGGCTTCATTGACTAGGTCAGGTGAGATCTGACTGCTAGCAGTACCTCACAGTCACAATGACCTCGAGAAGTAAACTTTCGCACTGAGGAAGGCATCATGGTGCAACTAAGCTACTTATAAAGTTTTACAGTTTAAACAATCATCATATTCTTTTAAATTACACCTCACACATATAACTCATTTTTAAAAATAACTCATTTTTATTGAAAATAGCTCATGCAATTGTAAATTATGAGAATATAAAAATGTGAAAAAATTATGTATTATAAAATATTGTTCTTACTTTGAGGAATCTTCTTGATGGGTTGAAGGGAAATTTTATCTGGCATCAGAAACAATGGAGAACATTTTACAGAAAAATATATCTAACTCAGCATTATAGCAAAAATTTTCAATATGTAAAAAGAGAAAATAGTATCATGAACCTCAGATGTACAATACACAGTTTTGCTAGCAATCAGCCAATGTTAAACTTTATAAAAGTGAAGCTTTTCCAGATACAAGAAAAAAACACGATATGAGTACACTCACCTGGGGAAAAGTTCATAAAGGCGAAAGGTATAATTGGGTTACCAGAGGCTTGGCGAGGGCTTGATGAGATGTCGTTTAATAAATACAGAAACCAGGCATGGTGGTGCATGCCGTAACCCCGGCATTTGGGAGGCTGAAACAGGAGCACTGCCACGGTTTGATGCCGGCCTTGGTTACATAGTGTGTTAGAGGCTAGCCTGAATTATATAGAAAGACCCTGTCTAAAAAAAACAGTACAGAATTTTAGTGTTGTGTGGAGTTCTGAAAAAAGGTTACACAGCACTGTGAATGTATTTAATGATAGTGAACAGTACAGTAAAATGCTTATAATGGTAGATTTTACATTATAAATTTTATAACAAATAAAAGTAAAACAAGCTTTAAATGCTAGCACAGACTTTGCACAAAATCTTGATATTTTAAGATGTTAACATTCTACTGAACTTCAGTAATCTAGAACTATGCTGGATACACTTAGGTGTAAATGAGTAGGTGAGAAAAGAGATCGCTCAAGCATACAGTGATCCAGTGGGGTTTTCTTGGATCCCTTCCAGGTGGTGGTTACGTGCAAAGCATTGCACATGGTGAACAAAGCCAGAGACGCTGCTTGTCACACTGAACAGCAATCCAGTCCAGAATGAAACAGAGGCAATGTAAAATGGTCATTAATATTTTTTGGATGTAAAAAAGTAAAATTGTCTTTATTTATGGATGATATCACATACATATTTTTTAAAATGTACAGAAAACCCTGTGTAAATATCAAAGGAATTTAGCAAAATCATTAACATAAAAAGCTAGTATACAAAAAATTAATTGCATTTCTGCATACTGGCTATGGACTGTTTGAAAACAATCTTAAATGTTTTCATTTATCTTTACTTCAGTATAATAAATTATTAAAGATAAATTTAATAAGACATGTCCTACAAATAGAAAATAAAAATTACAAATCTTTGCTGGAAATGATTAATAAATCTAAAAATGCAGTTAAGCATGGTAGCTCTTGCAATGGTCCTAGCACTCTGAAGGCTGAGGTAGTAGGGCTCCAAGATCCAGCCCCGCCTTAGCAACTCAGCAAGATGGTCATCAATATTAAAGTCAACAGGGTTTTTTTGTGTGTTTCCACACTACAGCATGGAAGAATTACTGTTGGATTAATGTGAGGCTGGTCTTGCTGATAATTCAGAGTCAGGATTAACGCTATTATGGAAGAACAGCGGATTCCTGTCTGTACCATTAAATTCAACAGAATTGAGATAATCCCACTTTAGTGCAAGAAGAATAATTTGATTCTTTATGCAATTTACGGTTACTATGGTTGACACAAAGACATAACATCATTTTCCAAATCCCGGCGATGATAGAAATATTCCATGAAGTAGAGAGACAGAGTCTGTTTGTCCCCTCCCTTGAATCAGGGCTGGGAGAGTACAAGGATTAGGGCTGAGGACACAGATCCCTGACACCACCAAGCAAGGACTCTGACCAGCCCCTGCACAGAAGGCAGCTGATTGGTATTGGCTGTGGAGGGGGCAACTCTAGTAAAGGGGTGCAGATCAAGGAAGCCAAGTGCAGGAGGCCAGGTGTGGTGGGACACCAGGGCGGGCTATGGAATGAGGAGCTCCATCCTGAGCTGCAGGTCCAGGACCTCAGCCAGTGCACATGGTCAGCAGTCTCTGCTGGACATGGAGAGAGTGCACCTGCATAAGGGAATGTCCTGGGGGCCAGCAGCAAGAATGCATTGTAAAAGCCATCAGGGAGACTGCTGAGACCTCTAACCCAGCATTGTGAACAGAGGCAGGCAGCAGAACCAGGTTGCTGGGCTAAGAGGATACACGGCCTTCAGGGTGACCCCAGGCCAGCCTGCAGCCTCGCAGGGTCCTACTGCAAGATGCTCAAGGGAGGACTCCCTGGCCACATGGATATGAGAGTTAGTGATGAAGGCAGAGAAGAGGTCACCCAGATTACTGAATCCTAATGAACCAGAGATGTTCACACAGCTCTCTGCCTAACCCTCTGCCACTGTGTTATCAAACTGTGCAGGACTAGGGTTTGCTTTCCCCTTGGACCATTGTGTTTTGGTGGCAAAGAAATGCTCTATGTGTACTTACTAATGTCTGGTTTATGACATGATTTCAAGGATTGAAAGATGGATGGAAGAATGAAAGAAACAGGAGCAAAATTGACTCAAAACACAGACAAATTGCCTCTGTGTTAAGCAGTATGCTTTCGCCCACAGCCCCAGGACACTGTTTCTCACTGGCCACCTCTTCACGAGGCCGCCCGTCTCTGTCCCAGCCTCTTCAGGGCGTCCTTCACATCCTGGTTCCGCAGGCTGTAAATGAGGGGGTTGAGCATTGGGATGACCTGGGTGTAGAAGATGGAGACCACCTTGCCCTGCTCCATGGATTCCACTGCCCCTGGCTGTCCATACATGACAAAACCCGTTCCATAAAACAAGCACACTGCTATCAGGTGGGAGCCACAGGTGGAGAAGACTTTGCGTCTCCTGGAACTGGAGGGCATCCTGAGGACAGTCACTGCGATGTAGCCATAGGAAGTCAAGATCCCCATCATGGCACCCAGAAGTATGAAGCCACAGGTGCTGGACATGACCAGCTCATTGAGAGCCGTGTCAGCACAGGCGAGCCTGAGCAGCGGGAGCACATCACAGAAGAAGTGGTCAATGTGGTTGGAGCTGCAGAAGGGAAGTTGGAAAGTGAGGCTGGTCTGCACGATGGAGTTGAGGCAGCCCCCACAGTAGGAGCTCAGCACCAGGAGAGCGCAGACAGTGCGGCACATGGTCACGGGGTAATGCAGGGGATTGCAGATGGCCATGAAACGGTCATAGGCCATCACAGCCAGAAGTAAGGCCTCCGTGGTACCGAGAAGGGAGAAGAAAAACAACTGGGCAGCACAGGCAGCAGAGCTGATGACTTTAGAGGAAGAGAAGAAGTTGATCAGGGCTCTGGGTGCAAAAACAGATGAGTAGCAGAGGTCCAGGAAGGACAGGTTCTTGAGGAAGAAGTACATGGGGGAGTGCAGGCGGGCATCCAGGGTGATGACGACGATCATGGTGAGGTTGCCCACGATGGTCATCACATACAGGGCCAGGAAGACAGCAAAGAGCAGGGCTTGTGTCTCCATACCTCCCCTGAAGCCTTCCAGCACGAACTCCCACAAGGGCGCCATGGAAAAGTTCCTATGTCTGTGGGTTGTCATGGCCCCGAGCTAGGCCAGCTGTGCAGAGAGGACAGTGAGGGAGGGCCATTCACCACCACACAGTCCTGCCTCACTGAGCATGTGGATCACCCATGCATGCTGCCCACGGACCCAGAGGCTGACATTTACCTGGTTCTCCTTCCTGCTGAGCTCTTTCCATCCCTGAGTTGGGGCAGTATCTGCAGTTTACTGAACTCATGAATGTGCACTGTTCCCTCCCAGAATATGGACTGAGTGTGTTCTGGGGTGAAATAGGTGTGCAGAGCTGAGGCCCCCTCCTTGCAGGAGAGCACTAGGGCCTTCCTGTGCCTGCCTCTGAGGAGGTGCCCTCTCCCCCAGAGGGAGGCTCCTCAGCAGTGCCGCTGTGCTCTGTCCCATCCCACACTGCCCATGCCTCAGCTCCTGGATCCTGGCTCAGGACACGATGAGAGGATCCCTGCCACCAAGCCTGGAGCAGGCACTGTCCATCTGCAGGCTGGACGCAGAGCAGTGAGCTGTGCTCCTGGGCTCAGTCAGGGCCTCTGTCGGCTCCCTCAGAGGACCCTCAGTCACACAGCGGCAACTCTGGCACTGATGCTCGGCCACCTTGGGGGTGCAGCTGCCTCCTCAAGGAAAATGGGGGCTTCCTGCCAATGTCCAGATGCTGGACACCTCATAGGGAGAGAACGTCCAGGCAGCAGACAGTGTCCCAACAGAATGGGGAAATGCACACGCCCTGCCAGACCTCACTGCCATCTCTGTCCCCAGATTGCCATCTGCTAGGACTTGGGAAGAAATTCTAAAATCTGGAAACACATCTGGGATACTCTCAATTCTTTTCTCTTCTCTGTCCTTATCATGGCACAGACAGAGCAGCAGTCACTGCCTGGGCTCCATGTGCAACCTTTCTGGTCTCCAGGGGCAGTCATGATGTGGCTGAGCTGAGGGCCCTGTGCCTTATCATGGCACAGACAGAGCAGCAGTCACTGCCTGGGCTCCATGTGCAACCTTTCTGGTCTCCAGAGGCTGTCATGATGTGGCTGAGCTGAGGGCCCTGGCTTCTCCTTGCTGTTGCAGGACCAACGAGAGGCCCTGGGGTATGTGGCTAAGAAGTTGTTTCTCCTCACCTGTCCAAGGCCTGTCCAGAGCCCAGCCTCACATGGTACCTGGTGCCCTTAGGAGCCCCTCTGTCCTCGGCAGTCCCATGAACATTGTGGGTACTGCAGTGACTCTCAATGAAATGTCTTTGTGGGCATCACCTTGACTATTTCTCTTCACACTCACATGGTGTTGGTTTTGGTAGAAACTACATATGCCACCTCAGCGGTGAATTGAAAATATGTGAAATGTCATCCCCAAAGCAGTTCACTGACTGACACTATGGGAGCGATAGGCAAGGACATCTCAAGCTTGGAGCAGACACAGTGACATTACAGCTCCAGCAGATGGAGCAGATGCCCATGGGCTGAGGAGGATGCCCTGCTGCTCCAGAGTGGGTGACCTCATCGTGATGGGCACCTGTCCTCACTTTGGCTTTGCCCCTCGAGTGAGCCATGTGGTCCTGAGCCAGCAGTGTCCCCCTGGTTGGCAAGCAGATTAGAATTAGGAGCTGCTGCCCCCTTGCAGGCAGAAGTGGAACCTGAGATGCCGGGGGGGGGGGGGGCACCGAGTCTCTGTGCTCAGGATTCCAGCCAGGGAGCAGCTCACAGGTGCCAAGGCCAGACTTGCCCAGAGGAGAGTGCTCCCTGCTGTGCCTGCTGGGAGCAGCTCTCAGCGCTCCCCCCCCCCCCACAGGGCTGCTGTCTTCTACACTGGTGACCTATTCCCTGCACATGTGACCTGAGGTGTGTGCGCCTTACCTTCTCTAGGTGAAAGTCAGGACTCCCCGAGGCCACACGGCTGCTCCTGGGCTCTCAAGGTGGCCTGCTCTGGCCTTTTTTGTGCTGCAGATAATGAACAAAATGGACAGTTTAGTCCTAGTTTGTGGACCAGGAAGTGACGGGGGCAGAGGTGTGCACCTATGGTCTACTGAGAACCTGGCTCTGTGTCTTGGATTTTGCTTCTTTATGGAAGAGGCAGGGTGGGTTCTGCCTCCTATCTTGTCCCATCAGGCAGGCAGTGTATCAAGGCACCTGCCCTGGAGGTCACATTGCTGGAAAGGTTCTCTGCACCACGTAGTACTGGGACTTGGGGCCTCTGGTGACCAATTATGGAGTCTTGGGACATCTGCTCTGCTCTGGGACTCCAGTTACCTGGGCTGTAGGAGCTGCAGTGCTGTGGCCAATTTTCATGTCTTCATCCTTCCCTCCCAGGGTGTGGTGGGAGGACTGAGTTTCTCAGGGACCCAGGGAGACCGTGAGGAGCACACCGCACACAGCTCAGAGTGACCTCATGTCCGGTGTCCCCTGTTACACTGGTCACCCTGGAGTGGGGTGCAGTGGGACATCCCGGCCCATATGCTCCCTCTTGTACTCCATGCTGCTGTGAGGAAGATGGTGTGGACAGCAGCAAAGCCCAGGCTGCCCAGTATCAACACTGTCGGCACAGGCCACAGACCCTGGCCAATCTTCACTCCTGAGCACACTTAAGAAGTTGGATGAGCTCACCTCTAACCCACTTTCTGATCTGTCCACTTTGTTGTTCTAAAATGTCTAACAGTCCTCGTCTCTCTTGGTAAAAATAAAAACAAATATGTATATATCTGAAACTTCAAGAAAATCAGCAGATATGAAATGAAGAGAAAATGCTTCTCTCACACCCAGCGACGCCTCTTTCCAGAGTGTCAGCTGAGTGTGTGTCCTTAGCGTAGGCTCTGTTACCACATTCACAAGTCCGCAGTAGATGGCGGCTTGACCGCAGGCCATGGGGAGCTGCTCGGCAAGTGCATGGACCGGAGCCCAAGGCCTCCTGTGACCCTCACACTTGGGTAAAGTGTGTGCTCCTTCTCCATTGCTCTTCTAATGGAGTTCAGCGTCTTCTTTCCCATTTATGAGATTTGATATGACACACCCTCTCGACTCATATTGTCATCTAGGTCTCAGATGCAGCAATATTCTGGGGTGGGACCCTAGAGAGGTGATTTGATCCTGAGGACACTCACCTCGCCAATGAACAGGCCCACCAGTGAGCTCTCAGCTGGATGGGTAATTATTGGGGGGCCCACTCAGATGCCTGCTTTTGGAAGTATGTGCTGTTGCCAGCTCTGTGTCTCCATCTCTCTATGTCTCTCTGTGTGTCTCTGTCTCTGTCTCTTTAATTTTCTCACGCCAGTGAGATGATGTGATATTTGTGTGTGTGTGTCTGATTTATTTCACTTAGCATTATGGCCTCAAGGTCTATTCATTTAGCTATAAATGTCTCCATTTATCTTTCTTTATGGCTAAGTAAAACTCCATTACATAAGAAAACCACATCCTTTTTATCCATTCATCGGTTGGTGGGCATTTGGATTGCTTGTAAAATTTAGCTATTACAAGCTGTGCCATTATAAAGAAGGGTGGGCACATACTGCTGTGGCATGATGCTTTTAGTATGTCTAGAAAGATATGCAGAAGGGGAATAGCTGAGTCGAATAGGAAAACTAGTCCTAGTTTTTGAGGAATCTCCACACTGATTTCCACAGTGATTACACCAGTCTATACTCCCACCAGCAGTGGAGTTGCATCTCTTTTCCCCACAAACCCGCCAGTATTTGTTTTTGTTTGCTTGATGACAATCATTCTTTCTGGAGTGAGATGGAATCTAAGGGTACTTTTAATTGCATGTCTTGAATGATCAGTGCTGTTGAAATTCTTTTCATTTATTTATTTGCTGTTTGTGCTTCTTCTTTTGAGAAATGTCTGTTTGTCTCAGATGCCCATTTTTGGATTAGATCTATGAATTTGGAAGGTCTGATTTTTTTCAGTTCTTTATATGTTCCACATATGTTTCTTTGTCTGAGGAACAGCTGGCATAGCTTTTTTCCTGATGTGTGCATTGTCTTTTCATCCTGTTGGGTGTTTCCTTTGGGTGTGAAAGTTTTTTAATAAGATGGGATCCCAGTTGTTGATTCTTTGTGATATTTCCTGTGTGAGTGAGGTTTTGTTCATAAAGTCTTTGGCTATAGCAATGTCACCCACAGTGCTACCTATTCTATCTTCTTGCAGATGTAGTGTTTCTGTTTTAGTATTTAGATATCTGACCCATTTTTATTTTAGTTTAGTGCATGATGATAGACATAGTCTAGTTTTAGACTTGGACATGTGGAAAGTCATTTTTTCAGCACCATTTATTAAAAATGCTATTCTTATTACGGTGGATATATTTGTTTCTTTTGTCTAAGATCAAGTGGCTGAGTGCACTTGGAGTTGTTTCTGCCTCTTGTAATCTGTTCCACTGCTCCTTAGGTCTATTTTTTGTCAGTACCATGCTGTTTTTATCACAGTAGCTCTGTAGTATAATTTCAAACCAGGGATTGTGATGCCCTGTTTTGCTTTTGCTGCCCAGAATTACTTTTGCTATTCTAGGTCTCTTTTGGTTCCAAATGAATTTTAGGGCTGTTTTCTCTAGTTCTGTGAGGTATGCTAACATTATTTTGATTGGGATTGCATTACATCTGTATAGCAGTTTTAGGAGTATGACCACTTTCACTACGTTGGTTCTTCCTAACCAAAAGCAAGGGACATCTTTCCATTTTCTGATATTCTCTTTGATTTCCTTTCCAGAGTATGTAGTTTTCAATGTAAAGTTCTTTTACTTCCATATTAGATTGATTCCTAAGTATTTTTTTCCCAATGCTATAGTAAAAGCTGTTGTTTCCCTAATTTCTCTCTGTGAGTTTGTTATTCATGTACTGGAATGCTATTGATTTTTGAGTTTTGACTTTGTATCCAACTACTCTACTAAATCTGCTCATTAAGTCTAGAAGTCTTTTGGTGGAGGTTTTTGGATCTTCTATGCAGAGTGCCATGTCATCTGCAAATAATTAACTTTTTCCTTTCTTATCATTATTCCTTTTATTTCTTTCTCATGTCTAATTTCTT